GTCTGTGTAATTGAGGAAAAATATATGTGGGAAATACTGTTTAATCTCTTGTTTTGTATTAATATATATGGGAAACCCTTGTAGCTGATTTTAGACTAGGCTGAAATAAACCAACGCAATGAGCTGGTAGAAAAATCTCTGGTCATACTGAAAGCTGACAGAAAGTATTCTCGGATAAACAAAATTTATATGGCTCTCCAAAATGAGAGCGAGAGAGAGAGCTCTACAGTAAAGGCATTACATCTTTGAACTTTATTCTCACATTTAAGATGTTTGGCATAAACTGTCAAGTCTTGTCATATGTAGGGTACACATGCAAGTTCAAAATGTGTTTTCCAAGGATGCTGTTAGCCACTAAGGAGGGAGTATGTCTGAGCTGCCTATAAAACTATGTCCTAGCATTAGTAGAAATCTATGGAAATGTTCATTTGTTTTAAATGCAATACTTCTTGGTCCATACCCTACTTTCCAATCAACCATGTGTTTCACATCCAGTGTTGCTGTATAACAGATAAGTACTACTAATTTCTGAGGAAACACTGTCACTGATAGAGAATATAAGTAAAGAGCAAAACAGCATTTGTGTTTGGCTTTAAAAAAGAAGGTTGTGCAGTTAGGATATTTGTTTTTTGACAAGACTTGAAGCAGATAGATAAACTACACTTGCCCTTTCTATACAGCTACTACCCTCTCATTATAGTTCTCTCACCATGCCATACCCCTCCCTCAACTGTCCCAATGTGACAGAAACAGTCTTGGTAAGTGAGCTGTCATCCCACTTTTTCAGTTGCTTCTAAAATGTCCAGTTTCTCTCTCTTCTCCTACTTTCCTCCTTTGTCCTGGGTGTCCTTCAGCTGTGGGCTGCCTTCAAAGTACAAAAGCAGTTTACACTCAGTTAGCTGGGGGAGGAAGCAAAGAGAAAAGGGTGGAATCGTGCTCTTCCCAGTAGTTTCAGGCAAAAGCAAACTGCTGCAGCCTCTCCTGGCCCGTGTGTCCTTCCTCCTTTTTTCACCTTGACCACCCTGTGAGGTTTCATAGCCACATATGTCCTGGTTTTCATCTGTGAGATTTTGGAGGGTATGCTATCCATCTTTCTTCTGCCTGTTTTGAAGCAGAAAGTTTCTATGCAAAGGAGCTGTGGAAAGACACAGAGACTCAACTGATATCACATCTTCCTGTTTCCTTTTAGATAAGTTCCTCTCCTTCTACCTAAAAGTATCCTTCAGAAACCTTATTTGCTTACCATGCACCATGGCTAGGTACATGATGTAGAAAATAGGATACTCAGTGGAGGATTAAGGGAATTACTTTGCTTTTTGCATTAAATTAATGTATGGGTGGGTGGATGGGGATGAGCCACATCCTTTGGTCTGAGGGGAAGGTGTTAGGGATTTGTGAAGATTTTTAATTAGCCATGAAGTCTGGGTGTGGGTGGGAGGGAACAGAGTCTGGAGATGTTTTCAGCACATGTCTTACTTAATAAAGATATGTGTTTTCAAAAATTTCATGGGGAAACAGGATTATCCCTTTTAGTTCCAGTATGAAAACAGAGCTGCATTTCCACGCTATATTTTATGTCAAAAGAACATTCAACATCTATTCAAGGCACTCTCTGTGCATCTATACTCAGATATTACTTCCAGAAGTGAGTGGAAAACTCCCAGGTCAATGGCTGCATTTACTGCTGTCCAAGCTGCTTCCCTTTCCAAGTGCTGTATTGTTACACACTCCTTCTACTATGGCTTCCTTGTTTGGATTGTGCTGCAAGATCTGCTTTTCTCAAGGTCTTCTTCCTGTTTTCCATCACAACACATCATCATTGTGGAACACGGACACTGAGGGGATGAGAGTAGCATGGAAAGAGCAGCACGCCTCAACAACCAAATTCTGAGGCCTGAGAATATGCATTTGGACTGTGAACCAGACCTTCCTGATTTCTTGGTATAATGTTTTCACTGGGGCTTTCTTTAATCCAGTGTGCATAATCCAGAAGCAGTTAGATTCCAGTTCTCTGACCCAGCTCTGCTGATTTCTATAGCCTATGGTGTAAATGAGAGAGTGAAGAATGAAAGGAGAGATGGTTCATCAGCATGTTGCAATGTTCCCCAGCTCTGCTTCATAATGTATGCTTGAATGTATTCTTCAGAACAACTAGGTTACACATGTCACCTGTATACGAGTAACCTAGGACATCATCAGACAGGCAGGGGGGAAAGTGAGGGAAAGTGCGGGGAAACATCCTCCTTTGTTTCCTAACATCTTTCCTTGTCTTCTAGGATTCATCCCATGTCATTTCTCCATCTTCTGTCCATCTTTTCCCCATTTTAAGCCATTTTGAGTCGAGTAACACCTGGTTCCTTAAGGTAGCTTTAAGGCTCAATTTCCATGCACTTCGGGAGTCACAACGGAAGTACCTTTAGTTCATGAGATGGACACTGTGGGATTCCTGTGGGGCTCAGTTTCCATCGTGCATGTAAATGAAGCCCTAAAGTTGTTTGATGAGGTCCCTAGTTTTGTTAAGTAAATGCTGTGGGCCCTTCTAGGCCAGCCCTCATATTTCTACCATGATGTGCTTGTAAGCTTTCCAGACCAGATTTGGAGAGAGATGGATTACACCATCTCCAAGCATTTTGGGCTATAACTCCCATCCACTTTGGGCAGAATTGCTAATGATAAGGGATGCTTCTCCCTGATTCATCCATATCCCTCAACAAAAATGCAAATTGAAAACGAAATCTTGGAATGTAATGACCCTTTCACACCACATAATTATACCACTATGATTCCCCTTTATCTGTCATGGCTGTATCTAATGGAAAATTTTGTCAAAGGCACAGCGGTGGGAATGCTAAAGATCTTCCCGTGAATAACCTGTCCCAGGGATCAGTAGAATGGAGCTATATCAGTTAAAATGCTACATTTTTTGGTCCAAAGTCTTCTAAAATTATCAGGTGGAAAGTCAATATGATCATTACCATTGTTTCCTTTCTTTTCTTTTAAAATCGCTACTCAGAAGCAAGTGGTCCTCATTTTAAAAGGATGTGTTTAAAGAGAAGACATTTGCCTTTGGATAGTGAACCAGTAAGGTTTGGTGTTTAGCTCCCCTTGAAGATTTGATGCCAGCCAAAACACAAAGTTAGCTTTGAAGCAACCTTTCTGGATGATTTGCTAAGAGAAGTAACTGGCCAGTGGGATTGAGATATGCCTTAGCAACTTTCTCACAGTTACAGACATTGTGCTTGGAAACATCAGGTAGGTAGGATGAGATGCTTTTGCTGTTTCCTAGAAGGTGACTAATCCAGCATGTTTTCATGACAAGAGGTGGTGGCGTTTTTATTTAAATTCTCTCTCTCTCTCTCTCTCTGACACACACACACACACACACACACACACACACACAAATATAGCTGTGTTATAAAAAGGAACCTTGAGCCGAGCCTTCTTAATCACATCTCTGATCTGCAGGTATATAACTTGTTATGCAAAAGCAATGTGGACATCAGATTACTTTGGATCATTTACTCGGGATGCTAAATTATGAACATTTAAAAAACAAACACACTGAAGCAGGCCTTTGGAAAAAATGCAAGTAACAGAACACTGTTTATCAGGGCTGTGGGAATATTTTGGCCAATTCACAAATCCTCAAGTGAACCAAGCCAATTCAGACAAATTCAGATCAGCTCAAATGTTTAGTGCAGGAGTCCTCAAACTACGACCCGCAGGCAGCATAAGGCTCACCAAGGTTTTTCATGGATTTTTGCACTACATATAATTAATAGATGGTGTGCATAGGAAATCATGTTTTTTTCCCAAACTATAGGCTGGGCCCCCAACAGTCTGAGGGACCATGAATTGGCCCTAGGCTTAAAAGTTTGGGGAACCCTGGTGTAGTAGATTAGTCCAATTTGGATTCCAAGCTGAATATCTCCATCTAAAGTAACTGAATGCCATTTAAATTAATGGCAGGAGTGAAGAGAGGGAGAGAGAGACAGTGTACCTGCACCTGAATCATATGATGAAATACCATGGTTGGGAAATGCAAATGAGAGATGGAAAATTGGACTTCGCAAGTTCCACTTCTAGCCTGCTGGGCAAACAATCTTGCACCCACTCTCCAGTCCCTTCATACAACACAATTACAGTGCTACTTGGAATCTCTAGACAGGGAGTCGCGGTGCTTATGACTAAACTACAAATCCCAGGATCCTATGAGATACAGGTACAGCAGCTCAAATGGAGTCATAGTGCTGTAACTGTGTTTTGTGTGAGAGTCTCTACAGACAACAAAGAAATCTCAACATTCCAGGTTTTGCTCCTGTGCACAACAGTACTATTTTGGAGACCTGCACAATGTTTTTCCCAAGCCAGAATATTCCCAGGGAAGTCCCAGCATTATCAGGGACTTTTTGTTGCTACTCCCCAGGTCAGTTTAAATTAATGGATTTCTCCCATAATTGAATGTGTCTCTCATTGGCTGTCTGTTTGTATGATGCTGGAACAAGCCAAGGTGGTCAGCATCAGGAAACATGGCAATTCTTTTAGAACCCAGTGTGATACTGCTAAAGCACCTTAATGCTTTTATTACAGCACCTTAATGCTTTGATTATTATTAATTACTGAATTATAATTATTATTATAATAATTATTATTTTTATTTCTTTCAATATAATGAGAGGGAACAGCCTGGTGAGCTATGCTAACCATAATTAATAACCAAAGTTCCAGATTAAAAACTCACCAGTGAAGCAAAGACTAAGGACAGAGGCATTTTATTGGCCAAGATGTGATGCTTGCGAGCTTCTGCTCCAAAATTACAAGCATAAGAGTGCATGTGCTCTCTACAACACTTTTTAAATAACCAGGCCCATTGTTCCAAATTGAATCATCCCTCTTCTATTTCTGGTTGGCTGAGCTCTGATGATGTGGCTGGAAATCCCCTCCCAACCAGGTGGAGAGAGCACTGTGGGTGTAGAGGAGTCTCCGGGAAGTGCTGCCGTTCCAGGACAGGAGGGGTCCAGGGTGGGGATGATGAGATCATGAAATCCCGGCCGTGAAGAACAATGGAAGCTGATCTCTGTGGTCTTGGCTTGGGTTAGGTAAACAAAGATACCTATTGCTTTTTCTATTCTTTGACTGAGGCTGAGAAAGCATTCCTGGCTTTGGCTTGAGTCAGGCAGTTTAGTTTCTTATATTTAGTACATATAAGAATAAGGAGAATAAAAGTACAGCTTATACATTTCAGACTTGGGAAATAGATACATTATATAAAAACATAAAAGTTACACAGAAAGGGATAAATATACATTTTGGCTTTGGATGTCTAAGGATGATTATGTCTTTTTCTAGGCCAGCCAGATGAAGGATGTTGCAATGACCCAAAGTCTCCTTTGTCTTGAGCCATGCCTGGGACCATTCCCAATGTGAAACAATAGCTGTATAATTTGCTTTCTGGCCAAGGTCAGGTAGGGGTTAATGTTTTTCTGTCCCAGAAGTAAAATAGAATGTGTTTAATAGATTTATAGGAATATAAGTGGGTTAAAATATACAGTATATTCTGGCGTATAAGACTACTTTTTAACCCAAGAAAATCTTCTCAAAAGTCAGGGGTCGTCTTATATGCGGGTGTAGTCTTATGCATGGCTGTCGTCTTAACTCTATATTTTAACTGGAAAAGTTAGGAGTCGTCTTATACCCCCAGTCGTCTTATATGCCGGAATATACGGTAGTTTATAGAGGGGAGGGAGGGAGAGGCCTGGGTGGGGGTGATGGGGAGGCCTAGGAGCTTTATGCAAAAGAGAGGATGCTGCTTTATCTCATTCTGGCTTGTTGCCCCTGGAAAACTATAAATCCATAACTATAAATCCTTTTTATTAGGGGTGGGGGTAGTGGTGTTCGATAACAATTACATGTGTGTGCACACAGGCATAGACACCAAAGCAACCAACAAAGTGTAGGAAACAGAAGCAACTGGCAGAATTAATGTATTTCTTTTTCTTTTCTGTCTTTCTTTCTTTTTTACAATAGCAAATTTAAATGTGGCCAATACAAAAACCTTTAGAACTGACTGCAGCCCAGCAGGGATTCACAAAAAACACTTTAATAATTATTTTAGATTGTCTGCACATTTTCTTCCCCTCCAAACCTCTACCCCAATTACATGTTTCCTGTTCATGCCCAGCATTATTTTGAAAATTTTTAATTATTACATTTGGCCCAGCCATTGGTTTTTAAATGCGTCGTGTTATTGTTATTGGTTTTTTTTTTGCTTATTTTACTATGAGTTTTTGTATTGTTTTGTATTATTGCTGTTATTGTTATTGTTCTATTGTGGGCTCGGCCTCATGTAAGCCACACCGAGTCCCTCAGGAGATGGTAGCGGGTTACAAATGAAGTCGTATTATTATGCTTATTATTATTATTATTATTATTATTATTATCATCTTTGCTTTGAAGAGATATTGTGTCTCCATATTCATATATTTGTGTAAAACAGCTGAAACATTATAGCTGTTTGATTTCTGGAAGCAGCTTAGTGGGGGATTCAAAGATCTAGATTACTGAATATTGATCAGGATTCAGCATTGAAAATGGGTTGTCTGTATACCTTCAAGCTGCCTGCAGACTTACGGCAACCCCATGAATTTTATAGGATTTTCTTAGGCAAAAAATACTCAGGGGTGGTATGCCATTTCCTTGAACAGGGTTCAAAGGAATCTGAATCAGCCCAGATTCACTGACTCAAGTTTGAATCAATGACTCAAGCTTCAAAGTCAACTGGGGAAACCTCTGTACGCCCCCTTTTGCTCATAATTGTTGCCATTGGTCTGATAATTTCACCTTGATGAGAATCCTTGTGCTGCTCATTAAGCCACCCAGCTGGCAAGATGTAAAGGACAGAGGCAAACCCTCCGGCCCTTTGCACTTGACTCTTGAGTTAATGACAGCCACAAAGCTCAAAAGTTCATCTTTGTTTTTGCAGTTTTCACCACACATTGGACAAATAAAAGTCATCAATTGACTGGAGGTCTTGCAAATTGTCAGAGCAGATTCATCAGCTGCCTTTTGAACGAAATACAAAGTTAAAAAAACAGACTGTAAAAGAACTGCTGCTGTGAAACAAGTCCTGATGTTTAACATCATTGGGGTTTGGGGGCATGGTAGTGTGATTTTGATAGGCTATTAATTGCATGCATTAGATTTTTGTTGCTTGGAAATAGCCAGAGTACAGAGTACAAACAGCTTAAACTCATCCCTGATGAAAGTGGGTGAGGGAAAACACCCTGGAATGACAACAGAAACATGATTGGTTTTAAACATTTTAACTATCCCATTTAAAACTATTCATGCTCTAGTGAGAATGAAAAATGTTTATACTAAATGAGATATACTAAATGCTTGGAGACCATAATGGAGTTCAAGGTTTATATGTTATTTCATTTATGGGGATGGCTGGAGAAACATCATCATGGATTCCAGCAGCCATTAACATTTTCCCCTACCATTCTCATAAAAATAAAATGGCCTTGGTAGCATGAGTGGTCAGCAGTCGTATTGAGTCCTTAAGGAATAAGTTGCTGACAAGGCCTAGCCAGGAAAGGAAATTGTTTTTGATAGTCAGAGGAAAGGATGCTGGCAGGGACACTTCAGAGATACTTGTAAACAAACAGCAGAAACAGAAAAACAGGACAGAATATGGTTGCAAGTTATGAGCCAGCAGCAAAGCAAAGATATGTATATATAGCCTGAGTTGAGAGAACACAGGTCAGATGGAGGATTGAGGATGAAAGAATACATGTATGTATGCATGCATGCATGCATGCATACATGCATCATACTATCCAACTGTCCTGATTCAGCAGGGATAGCTTTGACTGATTCCCTGTCATCCCATTTTTCTGGTCTACAGAGATACTCGCACAAATATCTCAGCAAGCGAGAGTGGCTGGATAAAACCCGGAACCTCAAGCCATGGCTGATATTGAATGGGAGACTCCCCCCTGGGCACACAGAAGACTGGGTGACTTGGAAGGCGCTGAACATACTGCGCTCTGGCACCACAAGATAAAGAGCCAACCTTAAGAAACGGGGTCTCAAAGTGAAGTCCATGTCATGTGAGTATGGAAGAGAACAAACCACAGACCACCTATTATAGAATTGGAAAAGACCAAAAGGACCAACCAGTCCAGCCCCATTCTTTCATGCAGGAACACACAGGATTTTGCACCTCAGGCCTAGAGTCACCTATGGCCAAAGCACCATGCAAGAGTCCTGAGTATAAGCAAACCGTTTCTTGTAAAAACACATAAAATATATGGGGGGAAAGGAATAAAGAAGGAAGATGTATAAGCCAAAAAAGGTTTAGCAATGGGTGATAACCAAACTGGAATCCAAATGTCCCATATAAATCCAAGGGTAACACAATCTAAGAATAGACAAAACCCACAACAACAGCTTAAGTCCACATACTTAAATCTAAAACTAAGGCTTGACTTGAAACAAGATCCAGAGAACTTTTCACTCACATGTTGCCTGAACTGAATTGGCTACTAATAAATAGACATGAAGTCATGGCATTTTACACAAACTTTCTCTATTGTTTCCCACAGAGACTTGTTAATCTGTGGAGCTGACTATCTGCCCTAATCTGCAAATGTAAATCCTCGTTTAGCTTCATATTGACAGGTGTTCTCTCTTGAGAGTTTTCTGTCAATTAATCTTCACTCGACCCTTTATCTAAGGATGTTGTTTCTGACTCCTATGACTAACCTGGGAGCTCAGAAGCAATTTGCATTCTCTTGACCTGCATTACTACCTGAGGCAATTTAATTTCCTTGGCCTGTATCATTCCCTTGGCTTGTGTTTTGAATCCCAGGAAAGCCCACAATCCTTTCTGAATTGGCATCATCAGTGAACCCAACAGCCCCTGGATAGTGTGACTGCTGAAACTTCTGAGCTACAACACAGAAACTCTCCTGACAGATGGCTATCCGGCCTCCATTTAAAAACTTCCACCACACTCTGAAGCAGCGTATTCCACTGTCAAATCAATATTGCTATCAGGAAGTTCTTTCTAATGCTTAGGTGGAACCACTTTTCGTGCAATCCAAATTCATTGCTCTGTGTCCTAGTCCCTACAGAGCAGCAGAAAACCTTGCCTGTCATTGGCATGTGCTCACACCTACAATAGGATTACCTATACAGGTGGATATATATTAGTATATGCAAATTATCTGTTTTCACTTTTTGAAAATGCAGAAGCAATTCTGAGAGTCAATTTGATGTGGTGGTTTGAGTGTTGGACTAGGATTCTGGAGATCAGGATTCAAAGCTCCACTTGGGCAAGTCACACTCTCTCAGCCACAGTAGAAGGCAGAAGCAAAAAAGTCTTCTGAGCAAATCTTGCAAAGAAAACCCTGTGATAGGTTCACCTCAGAGTTGCCCTAAATAAAAAATGACTTGAAAGTACTCAACAAGAACAATAGCAGTAATCCTAGCTGCAGATGAGCAACTCTGCCTGTCCTCTCTTATACGAGTCAATGACACTAATTTAACTCTCCTAGAAAGCTGCTTTTGAAAAAGAAGGCCTAGATGTTTTTTGGGTCATTCAAAAGATCTTAAATTTTCAGTTGAGAAGTCTGGAACTTTTCACAATTTTACAACATGTTGTTCTCCCTCCTTGTAACCGAATATGAATGAGTGAGCAACCAGGCATTGTTATCACCATTCAAGCCAGAGCCTATCATTTGTCTTCATTAATTTTGAGACACCAAAAGGAACAGCCCATCCTCCTTAGGATTACGCAGAAATGTGGGATCACTGCCCTTGGAGACAAGAGTTGTATGTAACTTGGCTCCCAAAGAGCCTAGGCTAAGACACACACCTTGGGTGTCCTGTCTGGCCTCAGTCCTCCCAGCTGTCATCCAGGGGTCATTTCTCTCACTAAAGAATCCTGCTTTTCAGGCCTTTGCCATTTGCAACCACCCAGATACGTTTCTAGGAACGTCTCCAGTTCAGTTCTTATCAAAGGGCATCACTCCCATCGCAGCAAATATCCCCAAGCCTGAGGATTGCTCAATCGGGTTGCTCAAAACTTATTTTCATTCCTCTGAGGTCAGGAACTGCTAGGGCCCTTCTACACAGCCCTATATCCCAGAACATCAAGGCAGAAAACCCCACAATATCTGCTTTAAACTGGGTGATCTGAGTCCAAAGTGACATATATTCCAGTCAATGGGATTTCATTCAACTGTGTGGAAGGGTCCCTAGTCATCCAGAGAGGGGACTCCTGCTGATCGACATAATGAAATGGTCACTGATACCATGGAAGATTTCCATAGCTTCCACCCCCCTGCAGCACTCTGCCCATTAAACCCAGTGCCTGCTGAATGTAAACTCCCATTATTCTCAGCCAACATGGCATAATTTTATATTGAATGCAATGTTTTAAAACATTTTAAATGCTTAATATGTATTAATTTTAATTTAATTTTAATGTTACTTGAATTGTATGTGTTTTAAGGCATTGAATAATTGCCTATATGTAAGCCGCCTTGAGTCCCCTTTGGGGTAGAGAAAGGTGGGGTATAAATAGGGTAAATGAAATAAATTAAGGATGATGGACATTGTAGTCCAGTGCATCTGGGAGCCTGCCTTGCTAAAATCAGCCCTGCAGAAGCACACTGTCCTACCCATTTTTCTGTCTGTGTCTAGTATGTTAGCAAGGTTCACTTTGTTTGTTTGTTTGTTTACCATATTTATATCCTGCCTTTCTCACCCCAGAGGGGACTCAAGGCGGCCTTACAGCAGGCAGCAGTTTGATGCCATACACACACCTATCAAATAAACAATTACAATTAAAACCAAATAATTAAAACCAGAAATATTGAAATCAGTGATTAATTATTTCTTAATATACACTTTCTCATTTCTGTAACAGAAGCTACTGCTCACCAGTTTGTTGTTGTTAATTTGTACTACATTGGAAATATAGCTTGGCTTTTAAACAATTTTGCTCGGTTTAAGGAATACCACAAGAAAGCAGTTTGAACATGTTTGCAATGATATATTATGCCACTCTGAAGCCCCTAAGAGACTTTCCCAGTGAAATGATGAGAAATAGCTGTCAAAACTCCATTAATTTGTCCCAATTTCATTCCCTAGCGGAAATTCAGGGAGATTTATGATATATCTTCTGTGGCTCCACACCCTCCATAAGCCATAGCAAATGCTGACTTGTGCTTTTGGATGCAATCTTGAATGCCTCATTGTTTAATGTTGAGTGAAACATTATCATTTGTTCAGCCATTGCAAATTCCTCGGAGGATTTTCCTGTCCGTTTCCTTTTAAAAAATGAAATAAAATTCCCAGACATTTCAAAGCAAGCTGCTCGTAACTGAAGCTGCCTTTAACTTGCTTCAGATTTTCAATCACTGATTCCTTCTGATGTTTGTGTAACCCTGCAATTAATTCCGTCACTTCTAATCTGCTAAACCTGGCAAATGAGAGTTGTATAAATCCAGAGAGAGCAGTGGGCAGAAACTGGGAGCCCTAGATGCTGCTCTCCCTCTTTTGATGGATGATTTCCTGTAGGAAATATGACCTCTCGTGGTTGAAATGCGGCTGACTTCAAGAGGTTGCATGAAGGAAGTGGAAAGACCAGGGAGACCTAAACCCATCCTAAAGTGTAGACACTTTTTGTTAGGTACATGGGGGTTTTAGCAGAGGCGGCCCTAGGTAATTTTCAATGGTAAGCAAACAGTACTTTGGTGCCCCCCTCCCAAACCAATCACTGATATATATTTTCTGTTCGTCGTGGGAGTTCTGTGTGCCATATTTAGTTCAATTCCATCATTGGTGGAGTTCAGAATGCTCTTTGATTGTAGGTGAACTATACATCCCAGTAACTACAACTCACATACGTCAAGGTCTATTTTCCCCCAAGAGTGCCTCAAGAGCGCCCCTGGGCAACATCAACTATACTGCAAATGCTTACTTTGCTTAATGGGTTGAGCCGCCCCTGGGTTTTAGGAAAGCTTTGACGACACAAAGAGATTGACAACACCCAGTTTTATTGTAATTTGTGTGAAAGGCTACTTCTCAGGCAAAATTCATTAGAAACAAAAGAGGTAAACATTCCAAGTCTGAAACATGTCATCTCCAAACCTTCATCAGGTTAGGCTTGATTGACTACTATGGTGAGATCTCTGAAGGCAGAGGTGGGCAAATTGTGCCCCCAACATTTCACAATTGGATACAACTCCCAACAGACCTATACAGCATAGGCAATAGAAAAGAGGGAAATTTCAGTTCTCCTGGATGTAAAGTTGCCAAATGTTCAGGTGCTGGATGAAGTTTCATAATCCTCATGTTTTTCCTCAGTATTTAAGTGAGGATATTCATTCAAAAAGAAAAATGGGTTCCCCTGAAACTGTGGAGACCAAAATCCACTGATAGTGGTGATATGAAAATAACTAAATTAACTCAGTGTATATATTACAAATATACATATCAAAAACTGCCACATACATATAAGTAGAAACAATAGGTTCTTCTCTTGAAGTATAAAGCAAAGTCTTTGTTTGAGAAAATGTCCTTTCTTTATTACATGTGAGTAGACTCCAGTAGTCACATGAAATGACTCCAACCTGCTACCGGTTTCAACTCACAAGAGTCTTCGTCAGGCGGTTGGGTCTGCTTTATACTTCAAGAGAAGAACCTATTGTTTCTACTTATATGTATGTGGCAGTTTTTGATATGTATATTTGTAATATATACATTGAGTTAATTTAGTTATTTTCATATCACCACTATCAGTGGATTTTGGTCTCCACAGGATATTCATTCAACCATGTTGGCGAGGAGTTATGGCAATTATGTTCCAAAACATCTGAAACGGGCGAAGTTGCCCACTCCTTTCCTAGATACATGGTGTCTGTATATGTGTGTTGAAAGTGAGATAAAGATAAATTGTTTTCTGTACTTTCCTGACATTTTATGAAACTCTATTTCCCTTTGCTCCATCTGTAATGAAAGCATAACTTTGCTATGAAGTAAAGATGAAAAACCACCCAAGATCTCACCAATGTCTGTTTGTGGAGCAACAGGCCATGGCCTTGCTGGCAGCAGCTCTCTGGGATCCATTTATCACCTCCTTTAATATCCCACATCAATCATAGCGCCCTTCCCACCCTCTTTCCCTGCTCCGCCTTGTCCTCCGGCCTTTTCCCCTCCGACTGCTGAGCGGCTGGAGTTTGGAATCCTCTGGCTTTCCATTAATAGTCCCGCTTTTCAAATAAACAACAATTGAGAACCATCTCTGCGTGGTAGCCCATAAATCAAAGCTGCCAGTTTTGATT